AAATAAATTGTCAAATAAACCACCTAATTTGTTTCAAAACAATATGTTTTAATTTTTTTAGTAGTATTTAATTTAAGTTTGAATATAAAACAGAAGTACTTTGGGTAATAAGCCACAATTTAAGTTTATAATAAGTTTATTTTTGACGTTTCGATTTCTACTTCGGAAATCTTTTTTAGAATACAGAACATTAACAAATTAATCAAATTTTGTTTTTGGTTACTTGGTAGAAAACTTGGTTGGAAAATTTTTCTGATAACTCTTCTGGGTGATTGATTAGGGTAAGGAAGCTCAGTAGATCTGTTTTAGTAAAAATTACAAAAAAAAGTTATTGACAAAAATTGTAGACAGCTTTAAACTCCACATTTTTAAATTAGTTACAAACCTACAGGGTGTTCTATAAGATCGTGGCAGACCAAACTTATGTTTTTTTAAATGAAACACCCTGTATTTTATTTTAAATTTAAAATCTGCTTCACTTCCACATCACAACAATGTAAAGTTTTATTATGTTATACCGGGTATTTAAAAAGATATAACCAATATTACCTGAAAATCGTATCAAGTTTAACTCCCTGTATAATTAAAAACGAGTATAGGACCATTGATCTATTGCAACCATAGTTTTTTAATAATTGTTAAAAATTATAAAACATATTCGTTTTCATAATATTCGTTAAATCAAATACAGGGTAAGACAAAATGCAAGTACATTATTTTCTTGGTAATTTTAAATAGAACACCCTGTATTTTATATCAGTATCGAAAAGTACTAATATCGTACTTCAAATTTTATAGAGTACTCCCTATACATAAAGTTATTAGTTTTCTAGATATTTTTATTTTTCCATCAAAGTATAAATTTTGAAATTTTAACGTCTACCAATAGTTATTGTGAGTTGACCATGATTGATTTGTTAGAAACTGACAGTTTAACATTATTGTTTATTAATTCAGTATTGGGGTACATCGTAAATTAGCAACAATTATTATTTAGCAATTCAATAATTTATTCAATTCCAAATTAGCAATAATGAATTTTACTACTGATGAAATGATAGATAAATATGATCTGGATATTGGGGGAATGCAATAAAAATTCATTACTATCAGCTAGAATTTATCATAAACGGTTTCCAGATAGGCGGCAACCTAGACAAGATACATTTGAAAAATTGAAAGATCGATTTAACCGCACTGGTTCAGTGAGTTCTGAAAAACATGAACGAAAAAAAATTAGTGTGACAGAGGAAAACGAAATGAGTGTGTTGATAGCAGTTACAGAAAACCCACTCACAAGTATAAGGAGTATTTCCACTAAGCAAGAACTTAGTTACTACTCTGTTCAAAATATTCTATCTAAAAACAAGATGCACCCATATCATATTCAAAAGCACCAATAATGAAATGATGATGATTTTCAGAAACGAATAGTATTTTGTGAATGGGCCTTAAAAAAATTAATGAACAGAGATATTTTTTTGATTATATCATATTTGGTGATGAAGCTGCATTCCACTGAAACGGTTCTGTTAATAGGCATAAATAACTTTCACTACTATTCAACAAGTAATCCATACCAAATAGTAATGCATAGTCAAACAAGATAATCTTTAAATGTGTGGAGAAGTATCGTAGGTAACCATGTAGTAGGACCATATTTGTTTAAATATAACGTAAATGGTAAGATTTATTTAGATTTTATCGTACATTAGTTACCGATATTATTAGAAGAGGTTCCACTTAGTATACGTGAACAAATGTGGTTTCTACATGGAGGTGCTTCTGCGTACCACAACGAATTAGTACGTGGTGAACTTAATGATCAGTTTGGTGAAAAATGGATCTTAAGGGTGGCCCAAGGTCACCAGAATTCAATAAAGTGGACTCTTTTTTTGGGGTTACATTAAGCACGAAGTATATATAATACCTTCAACAACAAGGGATATAAAAAATAGAATCCGAATTGCATTTCAAAATATTTCTTTACAAATGCTTAGTAATGTAAGTAACTCTTTCAATGACCGTTTTCAAGTAAGCATAGATGTTTTGGGAGGTCATTTTGAACACCTTACTTAAGTATGATTAGGTTAAAATTACAGTTGTTTTTTATTTTTTTATGTGTTGTTATTATTTTTTATTTTCTGTCGGATATTTATTATAAATTTTATTTGAAACAAATTGTTTTCTTTTCTGTGTCGTTATCTCATTACTGAATTTAAAAACAATAATGTCAAACTGTCAGTTTCTGACAAATCAATCATGGCCAACTCCCAATAATTATTGGTAAAGTTCAAATATCTACCAAATTAACACTTATCTAGAAAATTGATAACTTTAGGTATAGGGAGTATTCCATAAAATGTAAAGTACGATATTTATTAGTACTTTTCGATAGTGACTTAAAATACAGGGTGTTCTATTTAAAATTATCAAGAAAATAATGTACTTGCATTTTGACTTACCCTGTATTTGATTTAACGAATATTATGAAAACGAATATGTTTTATAATTTTTAACAATTATTAAAAAACTATGGTTGCAATAGATCAATGGTCCTATACACCTTTTTAATGATACAAAGAGTTAAACTTAATACGATTTTCAGGTAATATTGGTTATAACTTTTTAAATATCCGGTATGACATAATAAAACTTTACATTATTGTGATGTGGAAGTGAAGCAGATTTTAAATTTAAAATAAAATACAGGGTGTTTTATTTAAAAAAACATAAGTTTGGTCTGCCACGATCTTATAGAACACCCTGTAAGTTTGTAACTAATTTAAAAATGTGAAGTTTAAAGCTGTCTACAATTTTTGTCAATAATTTTTTTTTGTAATTTTTAGTATAACAGATCTACTGAGTTTCTTCATACTAATTAATCACCCAAAAGAGTTATCAGAAAAATTTTCTACCAAGTAACCAAAAACAAAATTTGATTAATTTATTAATGTTCTGCATTCTGGGAAAGATTTCCGAAGTAGAAATCGAAACATCAAAAATAAACTTATTATAAACTTAAATTGTGGCTTAGTCCCCAAAATATAGGAAATGTCAAATACTTCTGTTTTACATTCAAACTTAACTTAAATAATAATAAAAAAATTAAAACAAATTGTTTTTAAACAAATTAGGTGGTTTATTTGACAATTTATTTATTGAAATAATGCATATTCGTAATGTACGCAAAAAGTACATACAAGTTCAAAAAGAAACGTTGAAATACATAAAAAAGGAACAGAGATACAGTTAACAGCGCCTTCCCCCTCCCTTCAGCTCCCGAGAGTTTCAAAGCCGACCGATTTAACATACATTTTGAAGCTTTGTGGATGATTCCATTAAAGGGCAATAATTTTAAAATTTAGTTTTTTAAAACTATAATGTATATTCTTTTAAATAGCGCTAATTATATTTCTTAATTGTTATAAACAAAGGTGCTATGAATTAAATAAAAAAAGAGGCTAACTTTGTAACAAATTATTTTAGGACAAACTTTTTTTTATTTAAATTTGTGAAAAAATTCAAGCTTTTTAAATATGTAAAAATAATATTTTTACAGTCAATGGTTAAAAAGTTATTCTAATTGTTTATAAGCAAAAAATCGACATGTTTTTGCAAAATTATTTTGCAATATTTAAAATTAATTTTCCTAATTTTTTTTTTAATGTAAATAATAAAACAAGTCTTCTTCTACCAGAAACATCCCTTACAATTTCTAAAACTGTATAAATTTCTGACTTATATTGTTGCAAAAAATGTTAATTTGGGATAAACAAATAAAATAACTTTTAAACTATTGGACCGATCCCTTTGAAATTTTAACCCTATTTAAAGCACTACAAGACACATCATTCCATGAAATATAAATATTATAAGTTTATTTTTAAAAAAGTTATCAACATTTATAAAAAACCGAAATTTTTTACTTATTTTGCAACTTTCTAAACAACAAATAAGGATAGAAACATTTTGAGAACTCCATTTTGAAGGTTTTTATATAACTAATAAGTTTCCTCTCTTCTAAAATTTGTTTAATTTGCTTCACTTTTTGCTGATAGACGAAAAAAGCAAAAATTTTCCGTTTTTTGAACTTAATTTGTTAATAACTAATTTAGTCCAAAAAATCGACTGCAGGAAACATATAGGTTTTTGTTACAGAGGTCCACACTACTCAAAACAACTGTCGTTTGCCTGGCCGGACGAGTGTCAAAAACAGGGTACTTTTTTTGCTTATTTCCCTGGCCTAAAAATGTAAATTTTGATTATGACTTTAATTTAACATAAAGCGTAAAATGTTTGATGTAAAATCCTATTATTCTGGTATTTTGTCAAATCCTTTTATTAATTATATTGCTGATATATTTATTTTATTTAATATTTCGTTAACTATTAACTTTAGTTAAAGGTATTTTATACCAAAATTCAGCAGTATTGATGTCTTTGTCTATTTTTCCATCGTTGCCCGGAGTAATTGCAGAATTATGCAGCTGATTTGTAAGATGCGACTATCTCGAAAACTGTTGAGTTTTGAAGTTATTAACAGGTATACCTCTTGTGAAAATAATTTATCTTTAATACATTTTGTCACAAATACATGCAACTTAAAGGGCAAACAAGTTAAGTGCAAATTTATGCCACATATGTGGCATATGTGGCGCCCTCTATCAGCTACACGGCAGTGTGTATCAAATTATAATTTCTCATATTTAAAGGTACCGAGTTGTAAATGTGTATAAATTAGTGTTTACAGACATTATTTGGCAAACAATTTGGCTTAAATCGTAATATTTTAGTTTACAATCTACCGTTTCTTTTTGTACAATTACTTAAGGACCACCCTGTATATATATATATATATATATATATATATATATATATATATATATAATAGGTGTCAGCTTATGTACTCTGGGCTTTATGGGCAGTACCAACCAACAGTACTCTCCTCTACTTTATTAAAAACTTTATTATTATATGTGCTAATGCTTCTCTCTTACCTTAGGTATTTCGGCTTTCTTCTTTATTTTTTGTTGAGTCACAATGCCATTCTTTCTTTTTCTAACTTCAGTTCCTTGTTCACTGGGTTTGTTCTCAACCGATACTACATTCTCGTTAAGTTGCACATTAAAAGTAACAGTTGGTGATGATTTTTGTTCAATTGGCAGTTCATCTTCAATAATCATTTTAGAATCAACTACATTATAATACTGAGAGACACAAATTCTGCTATATCTATCTAAATTATATTTTTCCCTTATAAATTTTGAAGCTAATAAATTTAGAAGTTTGTAATTTAAAACTTCTGGATTTGAGACGAAATTAATAAGAAATAAAATTAGTTTTCTAGCTACTATTGATACTAATACTTGACAAGGAAGTGAATTCCACAGTTCTGAATTAATAAAGTGTCTCATAACATTCGTTGTCAGTTGCTGAACAAAATAATTCTTAACTTTCGGATTTGTACTAATAATGTGTGAATATCTGAAACAAAAATAATATTTCAATTATTTGCTGCAAATACATAGAAAATAAAAGTAGGTACCTAAAATAGGCTACATAAATACGATAGGTATTACCACCAAATCATAAAAATAATGTATAGTAAAAAAATCTAAAAAATCTAATTTGCTATAGGAGGTACCAAAATAAATACAACTCATAATATTCCATATTAATTTTAAAATACCAAAAATTAAACGCACAAAATATATAAATACTAATACTAAAAATAATAAATATAATGCTGTGGGTGAGAGTGCACTAATATCGCATGGGTTCGAGACACCGCACCATTAGTTTATTCTTATACTGGTAATGTAGAAATAAAGAGCTCCGTAATTTTAGCTTCATAAGTTACCCCTATAGATGCCACATAATGTAGATTACGTTCGCAAAATTATAGATGCTGGTAGTGACAATAACGCAGTATCCCACGTGTTGCAGTTCTTTAGAGTGCGAAACTACAAATAATTTTAAATAAAACTGGTAAAATGTTATAATTTGTTTTATCTTCCTTTTAGGAGCTCTGATCTTCATTTTTCAATGCTTTAAATAATATTATAACTTATTGTAAAAGTATTTTTACGATTATAAAATGTCCTAATATGGCACATTGATGAGTTTCCAATACTGAACTGTGCAATATTAAAAATCCAGAAGAACTAGTTAATGTGAAATTGGGCAGAAAGAAGACATTATAGGAAGGAACGGAATTAGTGACGGAACGGAGGTTAGTGAAGGAACGGAATTAGTAAACTATTGTTTAGAACTATGGTTTGACATCCTCGGATATACAAAGAATAGCATTTCAGCTCACTTTAAGAAATAATTTGCCTCATCATTCACTTGGAAAAGGAGCTGATCGAAAGAAACGGCTTCGAACATTTCTCCAGCGATACCTCAATTTAACATTTAGAAAGCCTCAGGTTATTTCTTCTGTAAGGGTAAAAGGTTCTTCTTCTTAGAGTGCTGTGTCCCTACGGAGGTTGGCAATCATAATGGCTATTTTTATTTTAGAACTTGCTGCTCTAAACAAATCAATCGATCTGCATTGATACCAATCACGTAGATTCTGTTACGAAAATGCATTCAGCGCGGCCCGTCTAACGGTTGCATCTCGAAGCATCTCGGCCTCGAGAATCATCGATCGATAGATCCCTCGAAGGCAAGAGAACGATCGGTCACGTATACGCCTAGAGGTGGGAACTTTCTAGAAAATAGTAACTTTGGTATGTATATGTAACGATCTTAGGAGTTAGTTTAGTTGATAAGATAGTATCGAACTGTAAAGTTATAAATAAATATATTTATATAAATTCGAACCGCTCGTTTTATTTAAAAACGGTACAGTTGGTGTCACCGTGTGAGGACAATTGATTTATTTAAAAATAAATCCAACAGTGGAAAAAAGAGACTTTTGAACTTTTGAAACATTGTTCGTCGAAATATTGTTCGTCGGGAACATCCGCGTAGTTCGGTAGTGATCGTTGTACGAAAGAACATTTAAAAAGTACGTGTGTGCCTGATCGAAGATGCTGCTAGTACAACTTTCAGTAAAACAGTTGCGTGAGCAACTAGAAGAACGCGATGAAGATTGCAGCGGGTCCAAGAAGATCCTCCAAGAACGACTAAAGAATGTTCTTAACAAAAATGGAGATGACCCAGAGACATTCCAGTTCCAGTCAGCAGATGAAGCAGTTTTAACGAAAATAAAAAATGTGTCGCAAATGATTATTGAAGAAACTTCTAAAAAAATTGAAGAAACTTCTAAAAAAAATGATGAAAGATTCGATGAAACGTCTCAAATTATTAAAGAAGTAGCTAGACAAAACGACAAGAAATTTGAAAATATGTCTAGAAGATTTGACGAAGTATGTATTCAGAATAGTGAGAACTTTGAAGAAGTCTCTAAAACATTCGATAAAGTAGAACAGAAAATCAAACAGTTAGAGAGCATGATAAATAACACGAAAGTGCTACCACTAATTAATACGGTAGCTCTAGATCCGGTAGTAAAAGAAGAATCACCGAGAGACGAAACGACACATCATATGAGATTCAAATTGCCACCATTTGATGGAAAGTCGTCTTGGTCTATATACCTTAGACAATTTGAAGCTATTGCGACAGCCAATCATTGGACAGAACAAGAAAAAGCTGTTTCCTTGACTGCTGCTTTATGAGGTGATGCTGCAGATATCCTAAGATCGATTCCTAAGGGTCAAGAAAAATGTTACCAGACCTTGTTCACTCGACTAAACAAACGTTACGGAGATGCCCATCTACAACAAGTCTACAAGGCGCAACTAAGAAGTAGAACTCAACGAGCAAGTGAGAATTTGCAAGAGTTTGAAGCAGATGTTGCTCGTATAGTGAGGTTGGCTTATCCGGAGGTACCAGACAACATTTTGGAAGAAATTGCCGTAGATACCTTCGTCAATGGGTTAAAAGAAAGTGAATTACAGAAAGCTTTACGACTAGCAAGACCGAAAGTTCTAGATGAAGCACTCGCTATTGCCTTAGAACATGAAACAGCTAGTCAAACTTCACGGAGCCATCGAGTAAGAACCATTGAAGAAGGCGACGAACCAAACGATGAACGTCTAGAAGAAATGGTACGAAAAATAGTTCATAACACGATGCCGAAGAGACGCGAGCCCAGATGTTGGAATTGTGGTGACGTAGGTCACATTCGCCGTAATTGCAAGAAAATGATACAACAGTCGGAAAACTAGAACGGGTCGACACTAAGGGGCAACTGCCGACCTCGAGAAACACAGCCCCCATAGTAACTGTGAACATTACGTCCTCCGGTGGAATTCATAGCATGTACATCGAAGGTCGTATTAATAATAAATGTATATCGTGTTTGGTAGATACAGGTGCAACAAGAACTATAGCACGGCCAGAAGTAGTACGAGACCATCTTAAATTATCGCCTGCAACAGTAAAGCTTAGAACAGCAACTGGTGAGATAATTAATACATATGGCGAGGCTAATATGTCAGTATCCATTGGCCAGACCACAGTAAAACATCGAGTGTTAATTGCAGAGATCTCCAACGAGTTCATATTAGGAATGGATTTACTACGGAAAGTTGGGGCTGTATTGAATGTCAAAGATGGAGTTCTTGAGATCGGTGGTGAAGAGTTGCCGTTTCATGAAGACAAAGAAGATGTTATCACCTTAATAACTACTTGTGACGTAACAATACCCGGTAATAGTGAGAAAATTTTGATGGCCAGACCTGATAGTTACTGCCGAGAGGGAAGTTTAAGGATGGTCGAAGATGTAAACAATGCCGAGTTCCTAACGGCAAAAGCTTTGGTGAGAATTCGAGATGTCGTTCCTGTAAGAGTTATGAATTTAAAGGGAACTGCTATTAAGTTAAGTAAAAGAACTTTAATCGGACAGTGTGTTCCCGTGGCTTCGATTTGTTCCATGAGTACTAATGAGAAACCGTCGAAATCTAAGTATCCAAAGGAGCTTGTTGAGACTATGATTAAAACGTGCCAAGATCTTGATGATGAACGAACTAAAAAAGTGAAGTCTATGCTGATAGAATTTCAAGATGTTTTTGCCATTGATAAGAAGGATAATGGCAAAACAAGCATAGTAAAGCATAAAATTAATACCGGAGACGCTCAGCCAATCAGACAACAACCTAGACGACTTCCATTTGCGAAAAGAGATGAAGCCGAAGACATCATCAAAGATATGAACAAACAAGGGGTAATTGAACCATCAAACAGTCCATGGACATCACCAGTAGTACTAGTAAAGAAGAAAGATGGTTCAACACGTTTTTGTATTGACTACCGACAGCTCAATGCGGTAACTAAAAAAGATAGTTATCCTTTGCCCAGAATAGACGACACTTTGGATACACTTTCTGGTTCTCGTTGGTTCTCCACACTCGATCTGAAAAGTGGATATTGGCAAGTAGACATGGAGCCAGCTGATCGTGAGAAAACCGCATTCTCGATAGGATCAGGGCTTTGGCAGTTCACAGTTATGCCCTTTGGTTTATGTAATGCCCCGGCCACATTTGAAAGATTAATGGAGGCAGTTTTAAGAGGTCTAACATGGAAAACATGCCTGGTTTATTTGGATGATGTAATTGTAGTAGGAAGATCCTTCGATGAACATGCCAATAATTTGACAGAAGTCTGTCAACGATTGAGGGCAGCAAATTTGAAGTTGAGTCCGAAGAAATGTCACTTGTTTCGACGAGAAGTGAAGTACTTGGGACATATTGTAGCAAGTAATGGTGTAACAGCTGATCCTGAAAAACTTGCAGCAATTAAGGATTGGCCAGTACCAAGAGATAAACACGAAATTAGAAGTTTTCTTGGCCTATGCACATATTACCGACGTTTTGTCAAAGGTTTCGCCAACATCTCCAAGCCATTAACAAAGTTGACAGAAGAAGGCAAAGAATATACATGGAGCGAAGAATGTCAGAGAGTTTTCGAACACTTACAAATGGCTCTGATCAGCGCACCGATTTTAAGCTACCCTAGACAGGCAGGAAAATTTGTATTGGACACCGATGCAAGCAACAGTGCAATAGGAGCTGTTCTCTCCCAAATCCAAGATGGGCAGGAGAAAGTCATCGCTTACTTTAGCAAAGTCTTGTCGAAACCAGAAAGAAACTATTGCGTTACTAGGAGAGAATTGCTAGGCGTAGTAAAGGCTTGCGAGCATTTCCATTAATACTTGTATGGTAGAAAGTTTCTTCTTCGCACGGATTACGCTGCTCTAAAATGGCTCCTACAATTCCGTAATCCAGAGGGACAGATGGCAAGATGGTTAGAACGATTACAAGAATATGATTACGAGATCGAACACAGGGCTGGAAGAGTTCATTTAAATGCTGATGCGCTTTCGAGACGGCCGTGCAGTGAACATTGTAATCACTGTCTTAAATTAGAAGAAAGACTTTGCCCTGTGAGACGAACCACCGTCATTAATGATCAAT